CAAGACCCTTCAATTACGGTCTTCGTCGGTCCCTGGTCTGAGAAATCTTTTATTATTATTCGGAACAATAAAGTTCATGAAAATAATAATTATAAAATTTTAGTGTGCCATGCATGTATCAATTCTGCCAATTTAGTGATTTTGAAAACTATGACAATATTAGCAGGAAGCATAATTTCAAATAAAATTAATGCAAACGAATCAAGATTGATTGACTCAAGGGAAGACAAGATAAATGAGGGAAGGTGAGAACTTCATAATAATCTCAGAAAGTAGTGATGAAAAAACATGGTCAACACTCGGCAAGAGTCCTCACTCATCCCTTTCAAGTCTTGTCCTCAATCTCTCATTTGATTGTGCGTCTCTTGTACCTTGAGCCACGTCTACGTACTTCCTGAGGTTGTGGCCTAGAAACGTAGAGCCACCTGTAGCCTGCAAGTTTTGAGTATGTCCATCCAAGACCAAGGATACAGAGGTCGAGGATAGCACAAAACTCCTCCCACAGAGTAGGAAGATATGACTTGAAAAGACTCGTCGACTAAGATGTCGGAACTCTGAAGGCTCGGTCACTGCCTCGTAGTCAATCTCTGCAGAAGAGATACACCTCTTGGCCAGGTCCACCAAGTCACCCCAGTAAGAGCCATCTGTAAGGAGAGAGCGGGCTGGAGGCCTGGGCTAATCAATGTAGAGCTTGGGTCCAAAGCTACAGATCAGCTTTGTGGCACTTTCATCAAGCTCTCTCTCCCTCTTTTCAAGATATTGGCTGCTGAAATCCATACCGAATCAAAGTGCCTCTGAGTTTCCTTGCCCTTTTTCACATAGAGCCTCAGGTCATGAATGGTGCCTTCCACAAACCTCGTGAGGACAATGCAGATTGACAGATCTTCTTGTATGAAACCAGATGCATTGACATATTGGTCTTGGAAAGCATCCTTGAGAGCAATCTTGTTGAGACTGATCAAAGCAGTCTGATGAACCGGAAATGAGGAGATGGTACTCATGTGAAAGTTGGAGTTAATGTGAATGTCTCTGATAAGAACACTGACTGACTGATGCTGATATGAGAAGTGATTGATAAAGGTCGTGTGATGATTAGCTTTGATTGCTGATTTATGTTGTGGAGATATGGGATGGCTCACTCTAACACTGCCAATAGTAACCGGACTGAGTTCATGAGAGAATATCGTGAGGGCTCTCAAGCCCCGTCAACGGTTACTCGCAAGAACGAATATCTATAGTGATGTTGAATGCGGAATGGTGGATTGAGACACCGTCAAATGTAAAAAAGTTTGTTGCAGGTGGGAACTGGCTGTCGATCGATATAAAGAAGTTTGTTGTGAAGAATGGTGGATTGAGACAACCTTCGAATGTAAAGAAGTTTGTTGTTGTAGGCGGGAACTGGCTGCTCAAAGGATTTTTGATGAGGACTCTAAGGTGTATCAACTTGGTCTAGGCCCTCTCAGCGTTGATTACTTCTCTTGCCCGTTGAACAGTCTCGAGAGAAGAGAACGTGTCGTGAAGCTTTCCATTAGATCCGTGGATATAAAACACGTACTCAACGAGCTCACGTCGGTTCTTTACTCCCCCAATTCTATCTTTTCAAATACTTTGACCTTCCACCCTTCTGCTTTATCCCAACAGAGAGTACATGGCATGACGAGAACGTCGCTGCCCATCATACCGTGAGCGTTGAGTTAAAGTTGCCCAGAAACATATTACCTTCCTTGATTAAGTACTTGCGACGAGCATAATGAGTGAGAGATTGTAGAGCTTGTTGTCCCTACTCTTGTTTGTTGGAAAATAATTGTCTGTGTATGACAAAATGGCTCACTACTTGAAGCCCTATCATTAAAACACAAATCTCGGTTTATATGAGATCATAAGGTACACCCGCAACTACAACTGAATAAAGTCCCTTGTTTGCCTAAAAACCAGAGATCGTCAATGATGATCTCCATTCCTTTGCAGCACAAAGGTGCAATCGAATGCAGACCCAGTTCAAATATAGCACACAAAATAACATGGCATAGTCCTTGTTCACTTCCATTACAGAGCGCAGTTGGGCGCAATTTCCGTTAGTGCACTAAGTAGGATCAGACACGATTCCCTGTCCCTATGCTACACAGGGAGAGCTCTGTCTCAGTAAGTGTGCATAAAGTAAAGGGGAATCTGTCTAAGTAAGTCTGTATAGAGTAAAGGGAATAGCTTGTACGCCTAACTCGCGAACCCCTCTTATTATCTACTGGTCCGATTATGGACTAATTACGCTTGGAACGTTTTTACTACTAGTCGAACGTTTCCCTTTTGATGACACAGTAACTCAAACCTGTTATCCAAATATCGATGTTCACTGTTGTTTACCTCTCTTATCGGCTCGTACAAGATGAGTGACAACAAAATTAATCCCCGTCAGTCAAGAACTTCACAAGACGATTTCCCTTAGGACATGACTTTTCTTACCCATCCAACCAACAAGTATAAGACGTGAGATTCAACGAAAATCACTACTCATGTTCATTCCACGTCTTGAGACCCTTGTCTCCTGCACGAGAAAAAAATTAATTACCATAGCCCTATGACCGACAGACCTGAGCTCATTTAACGAGTGTTGGGAGTACAGTGTTCACCACCGAACTCGATCAACTCAATCAGCGTGTCGTTTGCTTTGGTTGTAGAGTCGAATCGAGAAGAACACAAGATATAGTAAATAATATTTAGCCCATCTGCAAGGAAAATGAGCGATAGCGAACTTCAGAAATCAAACAGCATCATACACATGAGACCAGATAGTCGTGACCTCGAGCCAATTGTAGAATTGCATCACGAGTTCCACCAAATAAGAACACAACAAAAGCTCATAATTGACAATGCTGGAATAGTCTCATCATCATCAACGAAGAACCAATGTCGATATCCTATTTGGTGCTCGGCGCCCAGACTACAGATTGCAGATCCTATCTAGCCTAATCTACAATGCCGCCGATGACGTCAACAACTCCTCGAAGTACGAGTAGATCTTGGCCAATGTCGTACGCTTCAAGCACCAGGTGTGTCTCTCGTATCACTCACAACCTCGTTCCCCAACTCACAGATGCCACATGCACCCAAGGACCACCATGCGCCCCATCCAGCATACAACAACGCAGCTCGGCTATGGCTGCCTGCTCCTTCGAGCTCCCCCATGAGCGTGTGAGCACTGGCCAGCGTTAGCTCAGCAGCGCTTGCGCAACATGCAGCTAGTGCCCGAATGCCGAATGCGTGGGCAGGCACTTTCCTAAATGGAAGTGGCCTGCTTGCTTACATGCAGCTTGGCTGTGCTGGGCCCCTGCCCAGAAGCTTCCGGTAGGCCCAAAGAGGCTGAGCCCCAGTCCAAACAATTCAGGCCCTGGGCCTGTGGTGGTTGCCCGTATCCAACTGCCCGCGACCTGTGTCCGGTCCATGTTGCGAATCTGGCTGAGGGCCTGCCTCAGTTACATTCAAAAGAGGCGGGCTGGGCCTGGGCGCTCTTAACCAACTGGCGCTGCGCAACTGCCTGAATTTCCCTAGTTGTGTGGTGACCCCAAAAATGGCCTGTCGGCCTCGGTCCAGCCTGCATTCACTTAGGGCGGCTGACTGTGCTGAAAATAGGGCCCAGTAGGGCATATCGAGGCCTTGTGCCTCGCATTCCCTCCTCCATACTTTGCTAGTCCTCTGAGAAGTTCAGTCTTCAATAATATGGCGCTTTCCCTTCTGCAGAGACTTTTCATATTGGGCCACAGCCTGAGGAGCGGTCTGCATCATTTCCTCCCTGGTAAACCATCGATCCGCCTTTGGATCAGTATGATGTCTGAACCGAACCCGGTACTGTAGCTTCGGCTTAGGAGGACATCCCCTGCTTGTCGGTCTGGGAACTGGCATTTCCTTGTGGTCAACGATGTCGTCGATGTTGACCTCTCCATCCATGGTTGGGGGCAGCATTGAGCGACGAGAGGGAAATCAATCTGTTTCCCTAAAAGGTGCGAGTTTGGAAGCGTGAAACACAGGGTAAGTACGTAAGTGACCAGGGATGCGAATAGCATACGATGGTCCATCCGGTTCATCCCCAACAACATCTAGGACCTCCCATGGTCCAAAGTACTGTGGCATGAGCTTGCGGGAGATCCCGTGCTCCTGTCCCAGTTCTGAGGACTTAACCCAGACTCTCTCCCCTACCTGAAATGTAGATGGGAGACAGTGCTTGTTCTCAGACTCTATCATCGCCACCTGTGCCTTGTGCATCTGTTCAACATCGTGCTGCATTTGTCGGTCATACCGATAAGCAAACTCTAAGATCCCTGGTGCAGCAGAAGACCGGTTCTCAGGCAGTAAGAAAAGGGCATTCTGGGCTTAAAGGTCAGTAGCAGTCTGTTCGGGCTCACTCCCGTTGCGCTGTGCACAACGTTGTTGTACAGGCTAGCAATGAGAGCAAGTTTCTCATCCCAGTCTACTTGATTTGGCTTGATGTAGTGCCGCAACATTTGTTGTACAATGCAGTTCAAGTGTTCTGCTTGCCCATTACCCTCGAGATAGTTCCCTGATGTCATCTGCAGTTGCGGTCCTTGCTCTGCAACTGCGACTTTCCACAATTCACAAGTGAATCGCACATCACGGTCACTCACTATAGATTTTGGCAGTCCAAAATCTCTGACCCAGTTCTCTTTGAACAACTTAATTACGTACTCAGTTTTAGCTGTTGCGGGCATTGCGACTAACCTAGCGTACTTACTAAATCGATCCACAATGACATAGACATAGCGCATTCCACTCTTGCTGGTGACTAGCTTATCCATGAAGTCCATGGACAGGCTCTCCCCAAGCCTTTCTAGAATCGGAAGGGGCTTTAGAAGCCCAAGAGGAGCCTGTGTTCGGGGCTTGTCTCTTTAACAGACCTGACAAGTTTCCACGTACAGCTTGGCATCTCTCGTCATCGTGGGCCACCAGAACTGCTGCAACAGATTGGTTGCAGTCTTCTTATATCCAAAATGTCTTGTGGCGTCATGACACTCTCCTAAAACTAAACTACACAAGGACTCCCGATTAGGCACACACAAACGTGTATTCCCGACCTTCTAAAGGAACAGCAAGCCGTTGACCAACTCAAACTCGACAGAAGTCACTTTGTCCTTCGCCTCGAGTCTGCGAATGATCTTAGACATAAACGGATCCTCGCGATAGGCTTTCACCAAAGAGTGAGTTACATCGTCCGCAAGCCCGAACTCAGTAATCAGCGCACCAGAGAAATCAGGCCTACGTGATAAGGCATCGACAACTTTATTGTAATCCCCCTTCAGATACTGGGGTTCAAAGTCATACTGTTCAATGACTTTGATCCAGCGCTCCAAGGCATCAGAAAGTACTGGTTGGGTTCTGATCCACTTCAGGGTATGATGATCAGTCATGACGATGAAGAATCTCCCAAGGAGGTAATGTCTCCAATGGGTCAGTGCCTTATAAATCTCGTAGAGCTCTTTCTCATAAGTGGACTTAGCCAACTTCTGAGACGGCTTGGACATGTACGCGATTGGCCTCAACTTTTGCCCCTCCTGCTGCTCGAGCACGGCACCAATGCCATCTTGGCTAGCATTCGTGGTTACTATGAACGGCTTGTCAGGATCAGGAAGTTTTAAGACCTCATGGTGTGTCAACGCATGCTTCAGATATCTGAAAGCAGCCTCACACCTGTTTGTCCGCTCCCACGGGCTGTCAAGGCGAGTCAGGTTAGTCAAAGGGGCAGCCACTATACTATAGTTTTAACAAAGTGGCGGTAGTAGCCGGTCATCCCTAAGAAAGACCTCATCTCAGTCACAGACTGAGGACGCGGCCAGTCAAGAATGCTGGTCACCTTCGCGTCATCGGGCTTCAAAGCCTCCGCGGAAATCTCATGACCCAAGTACAAGATCCGGGTGCGACCAAACTCGCATTTCTCCTCGTTGATCTTGAACTTGTGCTGCCGAAGGAGACTGTGGACTTTGTCTAAGTGCGCAACATGCTCCTCTGCAGTCCTACTAAAAATAAGTATGTCATCGAGGTACACGATGACAAACTTATCCAAGTAGTCATGAAAGATCCGATTCATAGCGTGCTGAAAGGTGCTAGGAGCATTGCAGAGGCCGAAAGGCATCACACAAATTTGTACAAACCGTACCTGGTTTAAATGCGGTTTTGTGTTCATCCTTGGGCCGGATTGCAATCTGATGGTACCTGGACTTCAGATCTATCTTACTGAAGTACCGACACCCTTGCACTTTATCTAGCAAGTCATCAATGCGCGGTAGGGGCTCTCGGTTCTTGACAGTGATGACATTGAGGCCCCCTATAGTCAATGCACATCCTCAGAGTCCCCCCCTTCTTTAGTACGAATAGGACTGGAGATCAATAAGGGGAAACACTCGGCCGGATCCAACGCTTCTCTACGAGTTCCTTGAGTTGCCGACGAAGCTCATCAAGCTCACTTGGAGACATCCGATAGATCCTACCCTTCGGGATGCTAGACCCTGGGATAATCTCTATTGCGTGGACGACCTCCCTCTCTACAACCCCTTTCGGCTCTTCAAATAGATCAGGGCATTTAGCAACTACTCCCTCTATCTTCGGCGGCATTTCTTCCGGGTTGCCTACTGCAGAGACATATACTAGATACATACCCTTCTCTGGATTTTTCTTATAATAGTTTTAGAATGCGGCCGCACACATACATCCGTAGGACTCAATCAGACTACTAGCTTTGAAAGTACGTAATCCGGCGGTTCCCCAACCTGGCAAAGTGTGTTTGACCACTTTTCGTTCCCAGTCAAAATGGGGCTGTGCAACGGAGAGGTAGTACATACCTAACAAGATATCCATAGGGAGATCATCGCTCACTAGGAACGAAACGCGATGTCTCAGTCCCCCTCCCACGTACGGGAAACAACACTACGTCCTGAAGGTAGTCATGGACTACCATGTGCTGTTTGTTGGCACAGGTCGACTCCACAAGTCGACTCAGGCGCTGCACTTGCCCCTGTAAGCGCAACCTCTCAACGCACATGTGACTAATGAAGTTCCTAGTCGAGCAAGTGTCATAATAGGCCTCGGCCTTACGACCGCCGATGACTACCTCACCGACGAACATCTCACTCCTAGGAACTTTTGCCAATGCCGTCCAAGAAGCTAGCGGGTCTGATTTGGACCACTCCTCCCCTAGCTCCTCTGAGGACTCAAACACGTTCTTCAAACAAAGTCTCGATGGGTCTGAACGTGTTTGCGGGACGACGATAGAGTCAGTAGCTTGGGCCATCTCTCAAGATGGTGAGGGTGTGACCACCACCTTGACCCTAGCAGGAACAACTACTATTCCTACTGGCTCGACGCGTTTCCCGGAGCAGTGCCAGAACTGCTAGCCACATTGCTACCAACGGGAGCGGAGGATCCCAACGCCTGCCCATTGTAGGCGGGATCTTCTAGGTCACCTYCTTATTGCGGCACTTGAATTGGTTGTGGCCATATTGACCACAACGAATACAGGCGTGCCTGGTGTACCTGTCTCTCCACACGTCCTCTGTTAGACCCACTTTCTCCCATGGAGGAGCATTGAGGTCAACTTCACTCCTAGACCGGGAGCCTCCACGGCTTCTACCGGTCGCCTTACCTTTTTGAATTGAGGCAACGATTACTCCACCCCCTCAAGCCTCTAAGCTGCCTGCCTCTGAACCCACTCCCGCCTGAAAGTTGTCATCCAACTCGTTGGTAGAACCATCGTTGTCAACGAACATAATACGACCCTTCGCTTTCCAGTTGAGAGGCAATGACTTTTTCCTACTATTCGTCCTGGGTGTCTGACCATGCCCTATCTTTGCTTTCAGGTCTAGGGCCTTCTTGCTAAACGAGGGGAAGTTGTGCATGTTGATTTTGGCCTCCCCTGCCAACTGATTCCTGAGAGGCATATGAAAGCATCTCAGGTAGGAGGTGAGTAAAACCTAGGGATCATAGCGCACCCGAGGGACAAAATCAGACGCTCTACTGCGTCTTCCGCCAACTTAAGGAAGTCATCCAGCTTCTGGCTGACTGCCCAAGCGCGAAAGTCATGACCGTATCCCTACAACTGCACTAAACCACTCAACCATCTTGCTGCACTCCCCTCTAAATAGGAGGCAGCCACAAACACTTCCTCGTATGGCAAGGTAAGTTTACACTTGACGTAGACCGACACTGACCTCAACCATGTGTCGAGGTCTTCACCCCTCTTGTCCCTTGTGAAGGGTTTAGGAGCAGCGATGGTCGTCATTGGAACCCACGGACTTTGTCCGAGCACCTGTCCCACTCGAGGTTGTGGACCTTGGGGAACAGGCTGCTGCACTATGTGTTGCTGGGGCTGTGTACCCTGCGGCTGTGCAGGCTGCGAGACAGCAGGCTGCCCGCATACGACAACCTGCGACGGAGGTTGGGAGAACACTGTCTGTACAGGAACCTGTACACTAGGACCTGTTGAGAACCATCCTGCTAACGACATACCTACGGAAACGGTTTGGACCGATGTTGGGGAGACATATGGGGATACCCCAATCACCGGTGGGACATAAGGAGGCGGTTGTACAACGGGCCAGGCACCGGGCCTGGACAGCGATGGTGCTGCCTGCCCTCGCCCGACCAGCAAAGCCAGACTCTGTTGGATGTCCTGAAGGAGAGCCGTGTGGTGGTCCTGCATCTCTACACCTAGGAGGGTTGTCCGCCACGTCCTCACATCTGCATCCATATGCGTCAGGTCCATTCCCTCTAACTCACCGACGTTCCCTTGTCTCCGCTGCATCTTGGCTCTTCTTCTAATCATTCTTTATCTCTCCTAAAGCCTTTTGTAGCTATGCCTCCTGCAGTGTTGCTTGTTGTATGGCGATCTCATAGGAAGTCGACATTGTTGGCTGGCTTGCCATGATGCCAGTGGACTGACTCAGGGTCTTCGCAACCGTTGACCCTACGGCCCTTGAACTGCTGGCCTGGGAACTCTGCTGCGCAGCAGTCGCCATGGCTGTTGAAGCAGCGGCTTCACTTGTGAATGCCCTGCTGGCCTCTGTTGCCCTAGCCCTCCACTGCTGCTGCTGCCTCTCCCTAATTTGGCTGAACAGTAACCCGTCACCCTCCAGTCCTAAGGCCAAGTGGGCTATCGGGCGTTTAGTCGATCGCAAGATCCGGTCGTCCTCACTAGTGGAATCCCTATCGCTCATATGCTACAAAACTATACACGCTTTGCACTAGGTCACTCTTAGATGCCTACCACAGCCTAGTACACTGACCGATTTAAAGTAATTAAACACTTAATCGGTGGCTAAGTCAAAGGATATACATTTGGGTCCAACAGGTAAGTTCAAGTTCCTACAAACAAACTACTTTGACTTTGACTAGTTCGCAAACGGAAAGCACAATGAACAGAGAAGAGTTCTAAACTATGCTGTCTGTCATATGTTCATGGTTGTACATCTAACTAATCAAAATAAAAATAGAATCGTTTGTTGGGTTTGTTTGCAGAATGGAATCTTGCCCAAACTTATCACCTGGAATCTACCCCTCCCTCTGTTCTTCATGAATGTCTCTTGTCGTCAACGTCCCTGAGCAATCCAAAACAGCGTGTGTGTATGAAGGTGTGCACATGGCCCACCCCTGTGCCCCGAGTCCTGCTGAGCTGGCCAGCCCTGCACCGTGTTTATCCACGTGTGCAGCGAGCCTTACACTGACCGATTGGCTGATCAGAAGGCGTTTTTAGGGACGGCCCCCGAAGTCCTCAGGAATTATTTAATGTCGCAAAAAGGACGACGATCACAACCAATGGAAGGTCCCCGCCGGTATTTATTTATAGACGTCCGGTCTCGTCTTTCCCATAGGGTTGGCCTGCCCCTCATAACCTCTCTATAGCGCAGCGAGCAGACAAAGGACAAAGCAGCAAAGCATGTGTGCTCTACTCCCGGTGGGTTGGCATGGTGACCATGACCCAGTGCTTCGTCCAGGGCCCTTCAGTTAGCACTGCCCTCTCCTACCAGATGCTCCACTTGAAGATGGACGAGTCTCAAGGTTGAGTGCACACCACTCCTCACATGAGGACTCTCAAGATAGAACACACATCCTCACGGTAAGAAGTGTCGAAGAGGGTAGATAAGGTTAGGTGCATCGTACCTCAAAATAGCTTCCCCCAACCACATATATTCTCACCAGATGACCCGATGTTGATTGTGATGACCAATCGCTGCTTTGGCACAACCAGCATTGCACCACCGTTCCACCTCAGCATCAATCACACATCGGATAGTTCTCATCACACTGCGAACACCCAATATTCACCATTCAGTAGCCTTCCTGGCAATACCCCTCACCTCCTGGGTCGCCTAACTTGTCTCCACCCTCCTCACTACACACCTCCCACCGACGCTCGCCCAGTAGACCTCGTGCATGTACCGCAAAGGCAGAAGACAAGTGCCAGATGAGAGCACCATACCACAACTCCGATACCAAATTGCAAGGAAAATGAGCGATAGCGAACTTCGGAAATCAAACCGCATCATACACATGAGACCAGATTGTCGTGACCTCGAAGCAATAGCAGAATTGCATCACGAGTTTCACCAAATAAGAGCATAGCAAAAGCTCATAATTGACAATGCTGGAATAGTCTCATCATCATCAACGAAGAACCAATGTCGATATCCTATTTGGCGCTCGACGCCCAGACTACAGATGGCAGATCCTGTCTAACCTACAATGCCGCCGATGACGTCAACAGCTCGCCGAAGTACGAGCAGATCTCGGCCAATGTCGTACGCTTCAAGCACCAGGTGTGTCTCTCGTATCACTCACAACCTCATTCCCCAACTCACAGATGGCACATGCACCCAAGGGCCACCATGGGGCCGATCCAGCATACAACATTGCAGTTCGACTATGGCTGCCTGCTCCTTCCAGCTCGCCCGTGAGTGAGTGAGCGCTGGCCAGCGTTAGCGCAGCAGTGCTTGCGCAGCATGCAGCCAGTGCCCGAATGTCGATTGTGTGTGCAGGCACTTTCCTAAATGGAAGTGGCCTGCCTGCTTGAGTGCAGCTTGGCTGTGCTGGGCCCCTGCCCAGAAGCTTCCGGTAGGCCCAGAGAGGCTGAGCCCCAGTCCAAACAATTCAGGCCCTGGGCCTGTGGTGGTTGCCCGTATCCAACTGCTCGGGGCCTGTGTCTGGTCCATGTTGCGAATCTGGCCCAGGGCCTGCCTCAGTTACATTGAAAAGAGGCGGCCCGGGCCTGGGCACTCTTAGCCACTGGTGCCGCGCAACCGCCTGAATTTCCCTAGTTGCGTGGTGACCCCCAAAATGGCTTGTAGGCCTCGGTCGAGCCTGCGTTCACTTAGGGCGGTTGACTGTGCTGAAAATAGGGCCCAATAGGGCGTATCGAGGCCTTGTGCCTCGCACATCAAACATCGATTAAAATATGATTGGCATGGCAAGATGAAATAAAAGGAAAAGACGGAGGTTCGAATAAACCAATGGTGGAAGGAGGGTCCTTATCAACCTAGTTGGATTACACATCACTTGACCTTTCTGCCGAACGCCGAGTTCACCAAATAGATTTTCTTCACGGAAAATTATGTATTTAAATTTTCTCGCAGCCGAAACACGAGAAGTGAGATAATCAAGTGACTCCTAATGGTGGAGCCCGTCTGTCGTGTAAACCATCCTCGCCGTATTCTCGTTGCTTCCGAAGTCAATATCAAGAGCGTTATTGTAAAAAAAGTTACTGTCAGGAAAGTTCCTCTGTTCGCATCAACTTTGTTTGTTCAAAATACCCGATGAACATCACACTCAATCAGTTTGATAAAGTACCCTGACCGATTGTTGTTTGATGATCATACGGAAGACACTTTATTAGGAGGCTAACTTTCAATTGATAAGAGGTTTTGAACTGAAAGTGAATCCTTGCGATGCCAATCGATCACTCCACGCGAAAGCAGATATCACAGCGACTAGATTTTCAGGACTATTTACTCAGGACATTTAGTAATAGCGGTATCATGCTAAAGCCCAATTCATCCTTAGAACTCAGAAGGTAGAACTTGCTTAACATAAACCTCATTAACTCTCAGTTGATAACTGATCAAATAACTCGCTTTGCAAAAAGAAAAAGGAAAGGGGGGATGTTGATGGCAATCTGCGGAAGTACGTTTCATTACACGCCTTCCCAGTCGTGTTACTGATGTCAACCATGAATAGAGAGAAGGAACGAGCGTCTCTTGCGAAAAGTCTAACTTCAAGAGCTCATACGGGTAGACAAAACCTTGCTTTGTAAACTCTCTTCTATGCGACTTCTCATGCCACTCTAGTACGCGACTGATAATGGTCTGAGCACGATCACTGGGGGTATCGGACCAGAATAAGTGGAGAAGAAAACCAGAGGATGATACTGAAAGTGAGGCGGCAATGAAAGATAACTCTTAGTTCCAATAAAGTCAAACAACAATTAATTAGCACGCATTCCTCACAGGGATCTCACGACAGGATCTTATGAAGCCCTGATCTCGAACGCTTGTGCTAATTATTAGAACTCAGAGTTGTTGTGCGCCTTCTTACCCTGTTACCGTCTGTATGACACAGCCTCGAAGACAGCATAGCTGGCAACAATTACAGGTTAGAGCATAGTACGCTCTTTCTAGTCTAAAGATGGATGCCCATTTACTCTGCTAATACCTTGTTCAATTGCTTGCTTCCATCTCACCATAACAAGGATTGAGCCAACAAATCGATGCGGACTGGGCGAAAGAACTGATGACATCAACATTTTGAGTGTGTAACACGAGACGTCATGTCCCATCTTCTTGCCAAGCATAGTTGCCTTGCGGCTTTTTACTCTCGTCCTTTCTTGAACTAGTTTTTGTTTCAACAGAGCAAACAATCCTTATCTAGAGGGGCCACGTCGTAGCTACCGAGAGCTTAGAGCCACACACGACATCAAATCAAGTTGGGAGATGGCGCAAGTAGCGTTGTCGGTGCACTCGTGCTTAGAGCTCGAACGAAACTCTGTGTTGCTAGTCATCGAGTGCATCCGTCTCTCTTCCTCTCTCACGGTTCACCGGGAAAAGGAATCATCTAGTGTGCTTCTGCGTCTTCTTCATAGAGCTAGCTTCGAGTGACTCACTTGCGACATCTATTAGTCCCGTTACAGCTGGAGAGCTGACGTCAATAAAAAAAAACTATGGAACCCTAGTGTGCGTCGCACGCTGTGTACCTCCCTGAAGCCCCCTCTCTCTCTACTGCTTGTAAGTACCTCGTGGCCTCACCACCTCCGTCGTGAACAGGCCTCTTGGCCATCCTCCACAAGCACTGCTGGTGGATGGTCTTGTCACCACTGGTCCAACCCATGCCATGATCGCGTCTCCGCGTCACTCTCTTCACTCTCCACTTTTGAGTCACAATCCATGTCCCTCTGTACCCTCTCTATGGTCCCAGTCGAAGGTTTTGTCTCGTGGTAAGCGATAGTAACCTCTATTTGAGCTGTAATGTCGTCCTGCCGAAGCCTCCTCTCCGCCCTGTTTTTAACCTCGGTGATTGCAGCCTGCAACTTTTGGTCTTGTCTCATTTCTGCCTCTCTACCCCCATCGACATTGATCTTCAACTAAGCATCCTCCCTGTCAAAGTTTAGGATAATTGTGATCCAGGGACCTTCTACGGATACCAAGGCCCAACGTACCAAGAGTCGCTAATAGTCTGGCCTATAGCCTTCCAGTCCCTTTCGGCACTCCATAGCCACACACTTTTTGAAATAGTTGGAGCTTGGTAGCTGACGCACGCACACACAGATAGCTTACCACCTGAACACCTCACTGATCCGCCCTTCTATCTCAAATTGCCAGCGTAAGGACAGTGAAGCTTCTAGTGTGCACCTACTGGCCAATAGCGAGTAATGCGACAACTTCTCCTTTTATGGGATTACCATGTACCGCGATCCCTGTGTACTAAATGGGGAACCAAATTAGATTTTTATGATAATAAATAAAATAGAAAACTTCACTAAGTGGTGCACCTCAACGGTCACTATTCTATGTTCGCCTGTCATCAGCGCCCACATCCTACTCACCTTAGTATTGAAAAGACTGCAGGCAGGCAGGCTATGTATCACCCGCGGCCGCGGCCGCGGGGTCAAACTCAGAGGCGGCCGTGATCACGGCCGCGACTTTCAGGGAATTTTTTTAT